CTTACTTCAAAATGCTAAAATACGTACTTAGCAACATTTATATTGGACATTAGTTAAGACATCGTTTATATTTATGTTATTTTAAAACAAAAATTTTAATAATTACCTACTTATTAATAATGGGTCACCCTTTCCAGTCCGATAAATATATCTTATTTTTATACATAAGAAAATCAAAAAAACTTCGAACACTGATTTATTATGATATTAACAAATGTCGTAAATAAAGTTGTATCAAATCAATATCAAACCTGTTATTTTTGTATGCACATAGCGATCACCTGCCGCTACCGCGGTACGCTCGCTTCGCTCGTTCGGTTCGCTTTTTGTTATAATCACAGTTTTATAATAACTATATATCGGTTCTTCATATCATGTATCAAAATAAGAATTAAAATTATACCAAAAATAGTGTACAAGATAATTATGCTGTTAAAAAACTATTACGATAAAGTATTATCATCCCCACAAAACATATGCCACAATACCAAAGTACATATATAATTATATATATTTATAATAAAAATTAGCAAAAAGAAGTGATTTCATGATCGACCTATGAAAATGCTACATATAAAACAGGCGTACACCGCATAAGGCCCTGTCGACTAATATAAGTGAGCCATAACTGCGGTAAGTTAACATGGAATCTATTTGTAAGGCTTACACTCATATCATGCTACTCTTTGAGCGCCGCCCTATTGTCTTTCTATAGTCAGCGATAATACCATCTATGTGAAAGAATTTTTATGTTTCCGACTCATAAACGCCTTCAGAATAATGATAAAGTAGTATTTCTTTAAAGCGAGAAATTTTAAAGGAACTCTATTTATATATTATTAGGAGTTAATTGCACATTATCTCTGTTATTATAATAAAACTATAATAATTGTTTTCAGGTCAATTTCACATCATATAAAAATCAAAAAATTTACCTATATTTAAATGGTAAAACCGGTTTATTATAAATTACAAGTTAGATTTATATCATTATGGTAGATTTAATATTATGGTAGTATAGACTACTATAAAAACTATATGACATTTTTATACGATAATAGCTAAATTAAAATCAAATCCTGAAATGTATATAAAGGCAATATTTGCAATGAATGAAAAATTGTCGTGTTTGCTATATGTGATATTGTATTTGTGAATATAAATGGCAGTTTGGAGGTCAGCAAAAACCACGAAATCAATTACTACACTTGTCAAACTAAAATACTGTCAACCCTACCTTGTAAACGCGACCTTGCGGTTTAAAAACAGAAATTCGATCACTGTTAAACCACTTCACTAGGAAGGATTCGATATTAGATTTCTTGCGGTATGTTAAAAAAGAATGATTTAATTTTACGTGTATTCTAATGGAAAGAATAAATCCCATATATTAACATGTTATGCTACATCTTAATATTATTTACTTATGTCTTTAAAGATGTTATTATAAATTACGTAAAAAACGAAAACATTAAAGATTTTTGACATAATCCACTTATCTATTAACGAATATTACGATGCAAACTCAAATAAAACATTCGATCTCGAACTAAATTGTTGCCAATTCTATAGTATTACTTTCAACATTTTATTTTGTTTAAAACTTTCATAGTCATTAAAATTAGATCAGTTTTAACTAACATTACTTTGTTGGGTTTCTTTTTGGTTCCTTTTGAAGTTTCTTAGTTACAAGTAAACAAAGTAAAAAAAATGACTTAAACTCCAGCTTACTATAATATTATTATTTTCCTTTAGTTATTTTATTTATTTACGCAGTTGTACAGGAGCTAAGCTATTATATATATGAATTTTAGTTTTTATAACAACATTGCTGCCAATGCGTACATACATGCTCGCCGTTATTATAATTAATAAAGCGACATTCTTATTTAAAGTACAAATTTATTTTAAATCCTATACGCAGACTTCAACCCCTGAATTCACGCAGCAGCGTTTTTTTAATTTCCTTCAAAGACTTTTAACTCTGAGTAGACTCAATGAATTTCATATAAATGATTGATTATGAACATGTTGTGTAAAATGTAATGTGTTATTTCAGAGCCGCGCCTGCACCTCGCTCCCGCTCATGCGCGTGAGCATGAGGTGAGTCATTGGACGCATTTAAACAATTTTACACCCGCATTGCAATGCACGCGGCTTTCAGCTAACGCCAAGTTCAATAAACGTGGTTCAAGTTATCACTCTCAAATTAGACATTAGATTCCGAGGGGTCTTGAAAATGCAACTGCTAAAGGCTTAAATACTTCATATAATACCCAGTATAGTTGTGTGGCAAATCTATTTTGCGAATTGTGGCTACGTTAACTAAATCAAAGGTACTTATAATAATTGATATTATCATACAAAAGTCCGCATTTTCTTAGACCACTCTGATCTCGTATATGTCAAAGCAACACTCTCATTAAAACTTATTATCTCATTCTAGTAATAGCAGCCTTCACTGTACGACTTTGAAACGCGCGACACAGCATATCATCGCAAAAGCACTCGTGAACTCGCTATTAGTTACTCGCACACCTGCCTCGCGCCTGATGTCATTGCCCGTCAAACGTGGCCCTAGTGTACATTTAGTAACTAACCATACGAATATAACCCCACTCACCATCTTATAAGGTAAAACTTTAGCACAGCACGCGCAAACCACGCCAACTATTATGGTAAACACTACTCCGCGAACTATGCTTAATTGCCTCGGACACCGTTCTCAAACAAACCTTGTTATTACCACGTACATACTCTTAAGTATACATTTCAGATTTCGTAAAAACTGATGAAATTGACCCAACGGCAAGATTTTTCTATAAAACAATATTACTAGCCAATTTGCTTCACATCATGTTCTTATAACGATACTTCAAAAGAAGGAGAAAATTTGTGCACTTAAGACAAATAAATCCAGTATAAACCTCTGCCCAAATCACAAAACTTCAGTACACATGTAAAAAAACTAATATATTCATATTATTTTAAAATACTAAATGAACTAACACTGGGAAGTATGAAATAACATTAATAAATCTATCAACTTATTTATTTACCATAGATTTGAAGAACAAAGAAATTAGATCAGACGATGAAACTGTCTACAACGGCATATGTGAAATCAATCAAGACGGAAAAAATTTAAACCTTGGTTTATAGCTGTGAATTAATTTACTGACGCCTCGGCAGTTATGCAACACAGTAGGGCTTAGAAATCATCATAATAAAATTCTATTGATCAAATATAATTAATTGGCACAACATTTATTGAATTACTTCCACACTGTAACAGCTTAGAAAGTGTTAATTAAGTTCTATTTTAATGAAATAAATACAATCAAAACAACTAAATAATTGACGAGTATAAATAGAAAAAATATTTGTTAAGCATATAATTAAGAGACAGAAATTTACCTCACAATAAACATAAAGTGTAAATTTCTGTCAGGATCCTGTATCGTAGGTGATGCTAATCAAATTGAGGATGGGTTAAAAATTTGCCTATTTACGACATGACGCATTACAGCGGTTTATAAATAAAATATCTATGAGCATAGTGGGTTTAAATAATCTTGAGAATCACTTTAGTATTTTTTGTGAAAATATAGGTCAATAAAGCATCTACCTACAATATAATTAATACTCAAGCAATATTCGGCAACATTCATTGGATTTCATACATTTTCATTTCAGAATCTAAACAAGTAGACTCATTGAAAAAACGTAATAACAAGTCGGTATCTAAATAAATAAAGACCAAGAATAGTATTTAAAGTATTTTTTGTTCAGCCAAGAATATTTACTTGGTGGTGATCGATTAGTTTCGCTCATCGGGATTATACAGTGGATTATGCTCTAGCTAAATTATAGCAATTGTCTACATAATAATCCGCTACTTGAACATTAAAAATATGTGGCATATGATTACATACTTTATTCACATCAAGGCCTCATTTCATAATCTAAATTCTTAATTTGTACACAGTCCCGTTGCCTTGACAATTTTCGTTTTAGTTTTGAAACATGTCACTATGATGATCAATAAAAATATAACTACCCTCTCCTTATAAAATGTGATACAGCAGTCAAGATAGAATAATATGCGTATGAAACTAATAATACTTACAGACCGAAACCGTCAAAAGATAATGAAACAGTCGTTCCTAAACTTAAAAACAATTTACTTGACGAATGAAACACTACAAATAAATGGTATACTCATTCAGAGTATACTAAACACCAAAGCAGGGTAGTTTATTGCTACAGATTTTATTAGACCAATCTTTAATGGTTGGAAGACTTAAATGTTATTTATAAGCTCATAACTAATTAAGAAAACCCATAAATGCAAACCTGCCTCTTACGGGTACGGTTTCAAATCCGATCCGTTGATTTAATTAGTTTCTCTATAATAATAATTTATATCTGAACACCTTGAAATTATTTGGTTTATTTCTTAAATACACCAAGTGTTCCTAATGTCTACAAATTTTACAACTTATTGTAAGATATAAAAGTTCAATCCAAAATACAAGTGCACATTTCACGTCCAACAAAATCTCTGATATTAGCCAAACTAATAACAAATATCAACAAATAGCCAATACATCGCAGTCTGGTTATATCCATTAACGTTTCCTGTAACGGGCTATCAATTAAAATTAGATTGAATACAACTCTTTATAAGTGAAAAATAAACCTGTATCTTGAGAAGCTGTGATCCAGAACTGGTTGAGATGTGGCCAGCTATTACACATTACTGGCGTCTTCGAGCCGCTAGGATTTCCGGCGGTCTCAACTAAACACTACGCAGAGTTCTCATTGATGACTCACTTCAACGTTTACCTTGCTACGACATAAAATATTACTATGATAGTACATGTGTCAATCATGCAGATGTAAAGAGTCTTAATGACAGTACACACTGGACAGTTCACATCCCTTAACTACTGCGGTTGATCCGGTTCACTTTTTAAATATAATTATAATCAAGTTATAAACAAGTACAGAGTAATGAACTCATTTTGCAAACGATACGATCGGACCAATGTTTAATATGGGTTTTTAATTAATATCAAATAATCTTAATCACTACTTTACCAGAATGCTGACTATAACAGATTATTACTAGTAGCTTCATTAAACTTTAAACATTGAAATTATTATACATAGTAATCAGTACTAATTACAATTAACAAATCATAAAATATCTATTTTAAATTATGATGCTTAAGAATCAAAACACGCATGTTCAAAATAGGTACAAAAACAATTTAATCATTATTTAGGTTATAGATAAGATTTCAACATTATGAATATTATAATCGTCGTTATAAGTAATATCAACGTATAATTAAAAAAAAATTATTGCACTTAGACACATAGTTCGCATTATTATGAATTTATGCAGATCTTTACTATTATAGGTACTTATTATATTATCTGTGCCTTAAGTTTTTTTCTATATTAACCTCATCTCTTCAAAAAGAGTTATTTGACTAAAAGCAACAATCTGTATCGGTCAAATGTTATACAGATCACCAAGCGCGTGCGGTGTGGCACGATGGTTGCGTGAGCGGTCATCATGCGCCTCTTCCGCGGGCCGAAGCGCAGGGAAGTGACCGCGCCGCGGGCCGCCGCGACGCCGTCTCCGCGCAGAGACGTCGCCGTCCCCGCCCCCACCGCCTCCACCGCTCACACGCACGACTTCACGCTTGTTACCGCTCTACCCGCTATGGTCATGGAAGACGATGTAAAAGAGATGAAAAAAGGTATACTGACGAATACCTTGAAAAAAAAAATAGTTAACCAATTTAAAAGCAAAGTCCATCAATTGAGGAATGACCCAACTATTCTGCTTTATTTATTATTTTTTTACCACTACTTATCTCTTTTGATTCTTTTATGCACAGTACACATATTATTTATAATAGAGACGGTTTTCTATGAATTTACAATGTTGATATTTCTCTTTTCAGTGTTTGCAACGTGGGGTCGTCGAATGGGAAAAAAATTAGATATGCTGAAAAAAGTTGACGCGAAAGAACCTATCGAGGATTCACCAACTAAATTGATTGACAAGGATTGTGTTGACAATTCATCAACTCATTCTACGATAACAGGCCAATATAAAAAGAAACAACACTGGAAAATGGGTCGTAGTAGTTCTGATTCGACCTCATTGAAGAAAGATAATGGAGATACAGATTCTATTCGAAGTACGTCAAGAGATAGATCTCCTAGTCCTTTCAAATCTTTTTTTCATAGAATGGGTTCGACTGGAATGTTAAATTCTTCAAAATCTCAATCTCTCAATGTGCATAAAAGCAGTGAAAATTATCCTGTAGCTAATGGGCCCTCTTTGTACCGCAGTTGTTCTACTTCACATCTCTCAACTTATGTTAAAGCAGATGATCCTTCTGATGATATTGATCTACAAAATGCAGATAATGAAAACAAACATCCTCCGACAAAACAAAATAATATACTAATAGAAGAAAAATTAGTAACAGCCTCAACTAAGGCCATTAGTTGCGACAATATTCCTAATTTAGAAGGACAGCCTAACAATGGTACATGCAAGAAGCCCAACTTTCCTTACGCATTTTTGAGATCAAAATTATCAGTGTTACCAGAGGAAAACAGTATAACTTCTCAACAAAGAGCTAATTGTGTTAGACAAAGCTTTTCAGAGAGATTAGATCGTAGATCACCGAAATTCAGAAGAGAAAGATTACATTTAAATAATTCAAGGTCTGAAGAGCGATACCAAAGTAGTGACAGCATATCTATTCATGAAGATAACATGTTAATGAATAGTGTATTAAGAAATGAATATGATTTCTCTAGAAGTTCTATGAGAAGCATAAATGAGATAGATAATAATATGTATCCCATAAGACGAATAGACGATACACCAAGACGATCTTCAATGATATCGCATCGACCTCCTTTGGATTATGATCCAATGCTCATTCCAAGAAATAGAAATAGTTTGCCGGTTTATGAGTATAACTCCATTTTAGGATCAATGAAAGACTTAAAAACTGAACTAGCATCATCATCACAAAGTATTCACCATCCCCCAGAGACCGGTGAAGTTCTACAAGCACATCGTTTGAGTAATTATGTGAGTTCTAATGAATCTGGATATGACAGTGACGGTCGACCAACAGATGAACATAGTAACCACTCCCCGCCAGGCTACCCTTGTCACTTGTCATTTGGCTCCGGTAGACCAGATAATGACTCTAACTCTGAAGGAAATCGTAGTCCTTTTAGCAGACAGCTAAGTTTTAACCATAAAATCAATGTAAGCAGAGTTCAGATTCCTATGAGACGAAGTTCTACTCCATGTGCTTTATTTCCCATTGAACAAGGAACATCGTATGAATATGAAACTGAAAACAGAGGAAGTTATGATAATTATAGCACGACCAAGGTTAATTCTCAAAATATGTTAGAACATAATGATAGCAAACCACCACCACTACCAAAGAAGACTGTAAACAAAAAAGCGCCTTATATCTTTAAAACTATTACATTAGATGACCGTGTTCACACAAGGAAAAACAAATTCTACAACTCATTAGAAAATAGAGAGAATTCAAACAATTTTAAAGATTTCTCAAAAGTGGCAGTTTCGAGCAATTCCGTATCAGAAACAGATATATTTGGTAGAGGGCCGTGTACAAAACGATTCAGAAAAATAAGATTGTTAAAATCAAGATTAGATGAAAGTTTAGGCGTGTACTTAGCACAGCATAGGGTAGATTTTGATAATACTGGATCAAATTATGAAATAAGGTACATAGTAGTGAAATTAGATTTTGATGGAATAGCTCATAGGGATGGCAGATTGCGCATTGGTGACGAGATAGTTAATGTAAATGGAAGAGTTTTGCGCGGTTTGTCATCTTTAAAAGAAGTTCAACATATAGTGAATTCGTGTTCAACTGAAACTTCCAACGAAGACGGTTCATTATTTCAAAGATACCAAGTTGATCTTGTAATGGCTCATGATGAAATAACTCCAATAAATTTAAGTCGAATAATAAACAGTCAACCTACCGAGGGCAGTCCCGTAAAATCATCAACATTAAATGTGCCACCAGATATTATATCACAAACCGTACACAAACCATCATTTTCTAATCAAATAACTATCGAAACCCATTTCCCAAGTGATAATCAGTATTACAGCCCAAAACATACCAGCAGTCAAGGAATGCAAGAATCTAATATCAACATAGAATCACAGAGCAAATGTGAAGTAGTTAATAATGGAAACATACATCCTAGCCACAAAAGCGACGATGAGAAATTACTCGAAAGAAATACCTTTACACAGTCGACAGCATCTTTGCAAAATGTAACAAATATTGAAATCACTATGCGATCTTCGCCAATACCTAGAAATCAGCACAATAATTACAGACCCATATCACTCCATACCGCTATACCACAGCCGCTGATAGGTTATCCGATATGTAACGATAATACTACCAACGAAATTAAAGAAAATTCTCCTCACTACATAAAGAATGTTCCAAGGTTATATCAAAATAGATCTTTTGAAAGTATTCCAGAACAGCTGAGGAACAGTAGTAGAAGTAGATTTTTCAGCAGAGTTGGTTCACAGAGATGTTCACCGAATCACAATTCTCACGTGTCACGACATCAAGAATACACAGCGTCTCTTCATCACGAAAGTCAACATGGAGGTCACTATACCCACAATTCCATGCAGAGGGTGGAATTTTGGAAAGGTCCAGGTCATAAGAGTCTTGGGTTCAGCATAGTAGGAGGAACCGATTCACCAAAAGGACAAATGGGAATATTTGTGAAAACTATCTTCCCTAATGGTCAAGCTGCTGATAAGGGTACTATTTTCGAAGGTAAAATGTCTTCATATTTTCCAAGTTGAGAGATGCTATATAATTAAAGATCAAAATTAATTTCTTCTTATATTTTTAGGTGATGAGATTCTATCGGTAAACAATGTTCCAACACGTGGTCTAAGTCACGCAGGCGCTATCTCTCTTTTCAAGCAAGTTAAAGAAGGAAAGATTGAATTGACGCTTTCTAGAAGAAGGTACATATTGTAATTGGACAAATTAATGTAAATTTAAAATATTTAAAGTATTTCACTACAATCTATCTCTTATTTTCAGAGCACCTAGGTCCAGATCGGTGGAACCTCTTGGGAATTTCCGCGGTGACAGCAAAAAAGAATAAAACTTCCGAACCCTATACTCCAAAGAGTAATTATATTATTGAGTGCAATAAATCATTCATAATTTACTATTTAGCCAAAGGCAAGATATCTTAGACGTTATTGGTAAATATCTTATTAATGTTATTTTTTATTATTGACTAATCGTTGTTACACGAAATAATGTAATTATTTTTTAACTAGATACCTATATTGAACGTTTGAAGTGCACAATATCCTAGTTTACGGATTATTGGGTATTATTATTACGCTAAATGCATTATGTTGCATGGTTAACGTTATGTAGTACAATAAGTATTATAGTCATCATGTTATGCTAAAATGTTTGTTAGCTTTGTATATTGTGGATACCATAAGACTGTATTGTGTACTATATAAATACATAACTACATTTTAAACTGTTACTCGATGATATGATATTGTTATATTTCATTTAGTACTAGATCTCGTTATTCTGTGTACATAATCAACATGACTTAACAATATAAATATAACAGCAATGATCAAAACCGCCAAGATAATAAAGATAGTTCACAATTAAATAGACTGATATAAAATAGTATAGCAATTTGCGTAATTATATATGTATGGTATATATTTCGTGACTACAAATACCTGCCTCTGCCAAAGCTTTAGGTATATAAAAAGTTTGTCTATCTAACATAATAATACTAAAGTAGACAAATGCCATAAAATTAATCAATAAAATACTACCACATATCGAAACCAAAAGTGATAGTGTTCAAATTGCTGATATAAACAACACCATCGTCAATTCTAACATTGAATAGCATGATGATGAGATAAATATACATTTTATAACGGTGGTGTATATTGTTTTAGATATTAATATTACCGTTCACAATTAATAATGTACCCGATTTTAAACAAATAAAGCTTCCATTGTGTGATGATACTCGTAAAAACAGCGTACCAGGTCCGTCCATATGAAATTGTTACAGTTACTTTATTTGTTTCAATTAGGCACTTTTGTATTAATTTACAGTACATCAATTTATTTAGAACTATCAATTTTCTCAAATTGATTTCAAACCTTAATACCTTGACTACAAAGATTAAAATCAATTTCAGAAATTTGATATATTGTGGTAACCGGTATCTTTAGCACGAAAAATTATCGCTTTTGTATCGAGCACAAATGTTAAATTCCCTTTATGGAGGTAGGTGGCGCTGTTCAAATATCACATCGTGCTCAATACAAATTTGATTATCATTCGCTAAGTGTACTGAATGCTGCTACTTTTGGCGACCCAGTCTTTTCAACTATTAGAACTACTACTACCTTAGTCATATTTCGATATCGGCTCCGAGCCATTCTTAGAAATAAATCATTCAAATTGTAATCAAACTATGTGCAGTATTGTAAGTTACATTTGACATGTTTTGTAAATAAATTAAACGTAATTTCATTTTACCAACAATTTTTTGTATTACTCTTATATTTAAGGAATAAAACAATTTTAATTTGGCCCCGATTTATTGAAAACTAAATAAAAACTACAAAAAAAATTACAAACTATAACTAAAATTACCATTTATGTTGTGGCAGAGATAGTTATATCACATACATATCACAGCTTTTATGAAAAAATGCTTACAAGAATATCTACCACATTCAATGACCGCGTGAAAGCTGTCTGTCACAAACGCAGTTTACTTGATATCGCACAAGATGGCCACTCCTCGTAAAATCCAATGGTCTGGGTTTTTAATCGTGGGCAGCCATAATGGAGTGATAAACGTTAACCCAGTCCGTACTGGCTTCTTATAAACCGGACACTAAGAAAACAAGTACAATTAAGTTAAACCTGCTTATTGTATGTACATACACTTAATAACTATACCAAAGCCAAAAATTTATGATAAAAATCCTTTATTTTAATACTATTATAATTTCTAAACTTATATAACTGTAGATTGGTAGATCATACCTGATAAAGTTTAGGGTCTTTTGGCGCTGTGGAATTAATAGCGTAAACGTGAATAACAGGTAGTGCTGTATACAGCACTTTAAGAGTCGATTCACAGAGGCGCAGATTACGCCGATCCCAGCCGGCACCATCCAAGAATACTCCGTGAATAAAGACACCTTCCTAAAACGTCAAGTAAAATTTGTACCTATGTAGCATAGAGTTGCCAACCGTCCGGTTGTAGACTGGGAAATTAAGATTACTTTCCCAGGAGATTTGTGTCCTGGAATGTCCTAGATAGTTTTAAGCAGCATCTTAGATTTAAATGATAAAATCGTGTGTTTTAAAACTTGCTTTCACATAACTCGCTGCAATTAGCGTAATATGCGTCCTGCTTTAAATCTTAGTTTTCCTGGCTTTTCTACAAGATATAAAAGACTTAGTTGGCAACTATAAAAATATATTTTTTTATAAATACTATTTAATTACCGGAGGAGGAGCTTTGATTTCGTCATATAAGTGTTTAGTTACGTCATTATGTAGAGACACCATGTCTAACGCCCAGCCTTTATGTGCTCGTGTTACTTCCTGACGCATTGCCGTTAGGAAACCTGGTGGTCATATAATGTAATACATGACTTGCATTTAGGTAATAAATAATCACGTCTATAAAGGTAATAAATCTTATGAATTCTTCCTCTAGAGCCAGTCGAAGCTCCAACCAGGTACTAGAAAGGCCACATTGCTATATCCACTTTATACGCAGGATATTGTTAAATGGCAATTTATTTTTACATATCGTCAAAAACTGATCTAGTACAGTCAGAAAGTTTGTGGTAATAATCTTAGATGATTTTCCCCTATACTTTCTTCATATATACCTTTCACACATTCCGTGAGGAATTTTTAACATACCCTGTGGATTGAAGAAACCTGTCATCCAGAAAGAAAACGGTCGAGCCTGAAAGCACCATGTCGAGAACTGAATATTTCTCTCCAAGAACTCTGTAAACCAGAAGCCGAGGGTAGATGAAGACCATGAGCTCTTCAGCCAAATTTTCGGTACTTTTGCATCGTAAATATTATCAAGTGAGTCTCGTAGTGCCTGTCAAAATAAATCTGAATTACATTATGTGTAAAGTTTTTATATATTTTTGGACACAAGTAAAGAAAAATATAGGCATCTTCTGAAAAAAATAATTGCAAAGATCTCACAAACTTTATAAATATTTTCGCATTGTCTGAACATCGGAGAGGTGCCTTAAAATTTATTAACCCTAGCTTCTACGTAGAATCAAGTTAACCTAGTCTTAGATTCATGTGCAGGACTAGCACTAAAAAATTCACAAAGGGGTCGATCACCCTGTCCAAATCCATTAATAGGAAAGGCATGTGCCCAGCAATGGGTAATTTTAAGAAAAAAAATTAAAAGTCTTATGATGATAACATGATTTCATGAATGCTTATTACAGTATATTCACCTCATTCATAATGATAGTACCATCAATAGCAAGCAGTAAATCTTTTAGCGTTGTTCTCACTAATGATATGACTTTCTGCATTCTATCAATTTCTTGACGCAAGAAAATTACCATAGAATTATACATTCCATACAACTTCAACCTGATAAGAAATTATGACAACTAAAATCAGATATATTATTTCCTAAGAGATAATACAAAATCTTACTATCTTAATAAATCTAAAGAAATATTATAAAACTTGAAGTTTTGAAGGTGTACACACGGCTGCACATCAGGCTACTAAACTATGACATATTTCTGCTTTTGGTTTTGAGCTCTAACTCAAATTAAAGTGTCAAATCAAATAAAAGAAATTTGTTAATTTTAAAGAGCCTAGCTTGCTGTTGACTGTAGATTGTATACAAACTACACTAAGATGAGTTTTTATGGTGATACCTAGAACATATCTATAACATACAAACCGACAAACCCATTTTCTGTAAATCTTAGGTAAACATGTTTTGTTGGGTTGGGTTCAAGTAATTAATTTCATTTAATTTGAATAATCTTTAGATTGTTTTGTTATCAATATTAAAATTTTCTCTTTATCAATTAAAATTATTGGATCTAAAAGTTCATGAAAGGTCTGCCTACTTATAATTATCAAAATATTACAATTTACCTTTCTTTAACTTCGTGGGGATCAAAGTTAGGTGGCACTTTATCCAACATTTCTTTTGACTGTCGATATACAGAAGCTTCACGTGTTTCACCACCGCCAGAACTAGACTCTTTGGGTTGAATAGAGAGTATCGTGTCTAACAAATCTTGAGTTATATTGCGCTGATATCTAAATTAAATCAAAAAACATGTTAAACAATCTGTACACTATTAACACTTAAACAATTTATGTACCAGCTAAAGAGATTTCTATGAAGAAGTATTTTAAAAATCTACTAAATAAAATATCACTAGGCGGCAGTAGATGTTCGAGATATTTCTGATAATTTTTTTATTAATAAAGAATATTTTAATTATCTAAATATAATTACATAAATGACTGAATATAAACCTACGTGATATCAGCATTAGTGTGCAATCCGTAAGCCTGCGGTGGATCTACTGTTTTCATTTTTTCAATTTCGTCAAGATATTCAGAAATATTCCTGAATTTCATTATACCATAGCCTTTATAAAACTGGAAGTCCTCGCTAAACAATTGGTCTGAGAACCAAACCCTAGTAAAAGTGACCAGCAGACGTGTGTCGTAATCATCAGTTACTCTGCCGCCATATTGCACCGCCGACACCATGTATCTGAATTATAAAACACGAAAATTGACAAATAGTAAACATTTTATTTAAGTACATCAGATGTCGTCCTGAAAGATAGAGTTTCGTCTTTGCTGGTTCGCTTTTTTAGAAAATATTTCTGACGAAAAAATGACGATATTAACATATAACGCGAAAGTAGAAGTAGACGCCGCCAGTCAAACAAAACCAAGCAGCTTACCTTCCACGATCAAATTAATCACGTATTGTTATCGGCGGATATCATCAGAAACAGGCAAATATGTTGAATGACGCACGTTTATAAGATTATAAATGACACTTCTCATGTTGCATTTAAAAACAATTGAAGTTTAAGCATACGTGATTATGCACGCATGGACAATGATTTTATTATACCATAGTTCTGTAGTACCTATGGTTATATCTTTCAGAAACAAAGCAATCTTAACTTAGACTTTAAACCTATTAATTCTAAGGCGCTAAGAAATTGGCATGTGCTAGTATGCCTACAGTTAAAAATATGCATACCTCACAGTTGTCCAACTGATTCCTTGGCCTGGTTCTAAAGCGTCTAAGTGATTTTGCACAAACATACATGAAGATAACCAATCTGCCGAATTGAACTCGTATGGAATATTCCAGCCCAACGGACCAAATTTTCGTCTCTCTTGCACCACCGTATGCAAGAAGGAAATGACATATATCATTGGCAGATAAAATGGACTGTCGCTGTAATCCAAGAAGTCTTGACTCATTGAATCGTATGTCCTCATAAGACCAGCTTTGATACCTGATAGACAATAAAGTAAATTAACTAGCTCACTAAAACTACAGATAAAACAAAAGAATAGATTTTCAATTATGTTTACTGGCCGTTGCGCAAACATCTATTATAATTGTAATAAGTAAAGTATTAAGATGGGTAAAAAGGAGAAAAAAAACGAATAAGATTCATTTTTTGTAACTCAATATTACATTTCGTTCACTGACTACAAATTCCAGTATTAGGGTATTTTTTAATAGTGACAGACACGGCTATCCTTTATGTTCAATTTTAAAAAAACATTACTATTCTTACCCGATGGCGGCTCACATGTATATTTGATAGACATTTGTAACATTGTTATTGGGAATTTCGGATGAACTTCAGTTGTAATCCATAATCTGGAACATAAATAATTAATATAATCCTAAACATATAAATTCGATATAATAACTAGATCTACTCATAACCAAATAGTAGCATTAAATACTCATAATTACTGTAGTGTTTTATATGATTTACCTGAATGTCTCGTGAACTTTGTCTGGCTCTTTCTCTAGCTCAGCAAACTGTTCCATAACTTCTACCATATATTCTAAGCCTAAATGACAATTTTGTAATAAAACCCACAGACCCTAAAAACATTATTAATATAAAAATTATAGTCAACGGACCAAACACATTTTATTAATAATAAAATCAAAATTTTGGTAACGCCGTAAATTAAATCATTTATTACCTCTTTTAGAGCACGATCAATAAGTTTTCTGGCATGTATTTCTTGACCCTGTCCCATAGATATGGATGAACACAGGCACTCCATTCTCTTTGCTGTGGTCTCAATTGATGGAGTCGGATCGGAGCCCATAGCCAAGAATCCAATCAATGGCACCAAAGGACGAGATTCCAAAACCATATGCTGAATATTTGATAAGGAGTATATTTATGAGAAGAACATATTTAAAATAAAACAAAGTGAATAATAATCCGAGAAACTTTTTTTGAAGTCGTAAATAATAATATTAATAACCTTAAAAAATATTAATTACAATTGAAGTTTCTCAAATTATTTTTCATTATTTCAGTTCAGTTCAGTTTCAGTTTTATTTCATTAATATTTTTTTGTTTGTTTTGTCTCAAACTACTTTTTACAAGGTTCAAAACCTTGTAAAATATGCTGTACTTATACTTTGCTATTTATTAAATTAACAAAAAGTAATAATTAAACTCTAATATTTAATAAATACTTGCGAGAAGTACGTAGATAAAAATTCAGACGTAAAGACGCGTATTCATCAAACATAGTATTAATATTAATCACCTCATAGTTTACTATAACGGCTTCAGAATATCGGGCGCCCATTGAAAATACAACGTATTTCCTAAACAAATGATAAACAGTTATTGAATGTCAACACTATCATATTGTTCAATATAATTTCAGTGTAACATTAAGAACAAAATATTAATCACTCACAAACTTTGGGCAAGTGTTCTGTCGGGACACCATGCCCTTACTATTAATAGTTTCCTAAATACGTCCATAGAATTATATCCATCTGGTAAGGGCTCATCTTCTGGTGCTTCTTTATCAAACCTATGATATTTAGATAGTATAGTAAGTAATAATAAGTTTCCTTTACGATATTTTTATTAATAAAGACTAAAGATTTGAGTCAAAAATAAATAAATTGACATAATCATACAGGCCTTCATAAAGTATTAGAAATTACCAAGACTTCCAGCCTTTCTCGTTATTGGCAACTTGATTAAGAATATTTGTGAACTGTCGTAATGAAGCCAACTGCACCAAGTTCAACCAGGACATATCGGTGACCCATTTAAAAGGCTTTGGGGGGCAAGCATTTAGATCTAATGCAGCACCACCTATTATAATCAAATGCCATATTAAATTAAAGGAAATATAAACTTATTAAAGTCATCACATTTTTTCCACTAAGTTAGGTCTATCAAAAAGTAAACCAATTTATATATAACATAGCTTAACAAACCTTTGATTAATGTTTGGAATTCATCATATGTTACAAACTCCTTTTGCATGTCGATCTTCAATGTTAGGAGCAAAGTAAACAAGTATTTATGTTTTTCATAAAAGCCTCTACTTATATATTTGAATACATCAAATGTCTGTGGATACAATAAAACGATAACAGCATATCAAAAATTTTAATTTCACTTGATAATCCTGATCAAAATTATGAATTTACAAAGTATTCTAACCAAATAATCGATGATAAAGGCAATCCTCCTAGATGTGATCGGACTCTGAGGAGACCTCTCCATGGAAATATCAAAACGCTCCAGAAACTGTGCCAAAGAAGTTTGATACATATTGCACACGAGTGACATGTTGCAGATCAAGAAATACAGTACAGAGCCACGGGTCGCCACTGGACGGAATTCTTCGCGAGCCAAGTTAATCTTTATCTCAGTCTCTTTGGCCACGTCTAATTTTTCCTTCACCTTTAAATAAATTATTTATTTATAATTTTCCGTTTTGTATGACACTATTATTTGTATACAGATTATTACAAATTAATACCAAATATTTTTTTGTTGCTTACCTCTGTAGCTGTTGACTTCGTAATATTCAGCACCTGAATCAGCGACACGTCTTCAACCAATGAGCCCTGAATAGTCGTCAACTTATGTAGTAGATTTGCTTCAAGTTCCTGCATCTTACGCCTGTTTGCAGTCACATCCATAATCAACTGGGTACGTTCAGCTTCCATTTCCGCCTTCTCCGTCAAAATCACTCGTCCCAACAATTGATCCTCCAAGCCTGACCATATTGTTAACGGTAATAAAAAAATTATACTTCAAATACGTCTAGCAACTACGTAAAGAATTTTCAAATTTTATTTTTTAATGACCATGAATATTACAATAAATCTTCTTTCTTAACAAAATTTAAAAAATACATACCTTGCATAGTGACAGTAAAATCGATAATGGAAGTTCTAGCTGAAATCTCAGGTGTGTAAGCAGGATTGGGTAGTTTTGTGGTTATATATATTTTATGTCCAGCAGTGACATCAATTTCTTTATCTCCCAATTTCACCTGTAGAAAAGATTATAAATAATACGCTTCATATAAATGAATATTCATTTTTAAAAAACTAACTAATATAACTAAAAAAGATAGCCTACCTTGTAGGATGAACCAATTTTTATATAGTTTCTCTCAAGAATGTTATCTAGAGCTGGATCTAATTCTTCGGCTACATCTTCTATTAATAATGGCCTCCCGAGCGACACGCAATCTTCAATGTGATTTCTATAATTTATATACTTCATATTAGAAAAAAAAACAAACGTAATTGAATACTTAATCTTAACTGTTTGTTCTTGAATGTAGTGATTCAAGAAATATCTATAAATACAAACGAAATTTTATCTCTATTTCTAACTGCACCACTTTTTAAAATAAATACCTGAAATATTTATGATTAAGTGTAGTAACTATAAGCTCATTGTATTTCTCCATGTTTTTAATCCATATTTTGCCTTGTGTCTGGGGGTCGATCAATAACGGAAATCGAGACGCTTTTGTTACAATAATACCATTTTGAATCGACAACTCGTCTGTTGGTAATCCACATAAATTCCAATCACCAATCTGATTGAAAAATAATAAATAAATTGATTTTATTAGCGAGGTGAAAGTAATAGTATCGTTATTATGCGCGGTTATAAATCTCTTGGATATTCTCATTTAATGTTTCTACTATAAAACTTTTAGCTTTAGCAATTTAAGTTAGTTTCTGCAGACTATTTGTACACGCCATATAAATCGCAATTACATGCTGTATATGAAATTATATATTGTATATGAATAATTGTATAATTTCATATTTCATATACGCTGTATATGAAATATGAAATTATGATTCATTACAGCACCAGAGAACAGTTCTAGTACAAATTAGACGAAGAACTGCACTAACTATATAAATGATTACATTAAACTTACCGTAGCAGTATCGGTAAGTTGTTCAGTAATGTTCAAACTCATAGAGACCGGTATTTTTCTTCTCAGTAACTCCGACAGCCAACATGTTATTAGATGAGATCTAAACTCTTGATTGAATGGGCCAGAATATGATAAAAATCTAAAATATATAGGTATTTTTTGATGATTATTTTTAATAAGCACATCTTTAAGCATGTGATCTACTTATATACCCTTATAAAATAATATAATTCTCTCACCTTTGATAAAAATAAGTAGGAATATAAATTAAATGGATATTTATTGAAATACATAACATACCCAACCAACAACAATATATCCCCGACTAGCCGCTCTATTTCCGATTTAAATAGTGCAGATTGCTCTGTCCATCTTATTCTTTCACCACTTAAACCGTTAATAAGCGCAGTAGCTGCGTCCATTTTCTGCTGGCATTTGGCTGCGTCGTCCAACACAGCTTGTTTCAACGTCATTGCCTCATCAAATTGTCTCTGTACCCCAGCTAACTCGCGCTAATGATCGTTAACAAAATAATTTATACAAACTCATAGATATATTTCGCACTTATTAGTGTACTTTAGGGTTGGTTCTTATGTCGCGGCAGTCAATTTTCGCTAAACAATTTTCGGCGAAAAGTTAGAGAACCCAGAAATGTATAATACAACATTTAAACTTGTAACTCACTCAACGCATGATCCGTAGCGTACTAATGCATACTTCCGTGAAACCCATGACGAATCTTCCGTCGATCGACACTTAGTACATAAGCTTAAAGACATTCTCCGAGCAAAATGTGATTAAGCGATGACTATAAACCATTCATATATTAAACCTATTATGGTGTACCAATAAACAACGGTATTTCTCGCCTCTTTCAATAGTTTGCAACTAGGATACTCGAAATAGATCTCTACTTTGTGTAATGCCTTCGAAAACATATGTATTAAAGAACTTAATTTTAATACTTTAGTGCATAATCCAACTATTGTTAATTCGGACATGTAAATATCGCCAATTAATAATTATGCAAAATATCTTTTAATGCCTATTCGATGAATCGAAGAATGTGTCGAATCGAATTAACAAAGGGTCGAGGTTTTGGCAGACAGAAGAAATACATTTAATTAATA